ATATAGTATATATATATATATATATATATATATATATATATATATATATATATATATATATTCATGTACATAAGAATCCATATGTTACTTCAAGCCTTCTCGCTTTGGAGTACTTTCAAAAGTTTGCATATTTCAGCATGTTTAGAATATCATTTTCAAATTTATCAATTTTTTTTCTTTTTCGTTTTTCATTTGGTAAAAACTCTTAAAAACTATGCCAAAAATTTAAAAGAGCAGCATCCCCTTTAGTGGGCGTGTCTCTTCATTGTTTTTGGATTTCATTTACAGCTCCTCATCCCGGCGCTTCTAAAACCTTAGAAAAATAGCCAAACCCTAATGTGTTTCATATTTCTTTCATTTTGTTCTTTGTATTCTTGGTTGAAATCGAAATAAAAAATAATAAACATAATTCATTTCTTGTAGTTTATTTCTCATTTTAGTGTTTAATATTTTGCTTGCAATTCTTCTTCGTTAAAAATCCGTTTCATTTTTTTACATTTAGATGACTTGGCTTTCAATAGTTTGTATCATAGAATATATATTTTATAAATTGAATTCTTATTTACGTGTATATAACAATTATACATTTAAAATTTATAAACTTTTTTTTTTTTTTTTAGTAAAATTAAAAAAGCTATGCGCATAAAAACAGATTTATTTTCTTTTCTTTTTTGTAATTTAAACTTTATAAATAACGCGTTTCGTGTTTTTGTATTTTATATTTTTTTAATATTAATTGTTTATTTTTGTTTTTACTTTCAACTTGTTTTGACTTGGCTTACGAATTAAATACAAACATGTACATAAGGTTCATTCATATAAGTATGTATACAGTATATATAAATATATTTTATATATATTTTCTTTTTAGCTTTTTTTTTTTTCTTGTGTGAATAAATTTCAATTAATTTTATTTTCATTTTCTTCATATCTATTTCATTTCTTTTTGCTTATTTTCTGCTTGTTAGACTTACAAAATTAACTAGAAATTATATTTTATTATTACAATTATTAATTATATTATATGCTTTATATATGTATATAAGTGTATGTGTGTGTGTGTGTGTGTGTGTGTGTATTCGACAACCAAAGTAGGAAAAGAAGTTTTGTTTTCTGCATAGCTCCCAGCTCTTACGGCTCCTCGCTTGTCGCCTCGGCTGGCTGCGCATTGGCTGGCACCAGCTCCACCACTGAGACAGCCTCGGCCGTGGTCGTTGTTGAAGTGGATGAGCTGGTGGTGCTGGCCGGTGACATGTTGTCCGCATTGCCGCACGCCAGCCCAATCGGTGGCGGCGAACTGGTTGCTGCTGCCACTGCTCCTGCTGCTCCTGCTGCTCCTGCTGCTGCTGCTGTCGACTCCTGACTCTGACTGGGAGGCAGCACAAAACTCTTTCCCGCACACTGATCTCATTTAAGACCCGTGTCCGACGATGGTGTCCAGCGATCGAACTCAATACCCGAATCGGGTGAGACGCCAGTTGCCTTGGCCAGATGCGCGGCCATAAACCCGCCCGTTTGCATGCACTTGCAGTCGGGAGCGATGCAATTGCATGAGAATTTCGAGCCACGGCCGCAGCGCGCCACCAGGCTGGGATTGCCCGAGAGCACCGTGGCCGAGGAGCAGCCAGCTGTGGGTCCAATCATATTGACGCTGCCGCTCTCATCCATCGCCTGGCCATCGCAGGGACTCAGACGCAGTTGGCTCTCAAAGGATTGCAGCTGCTGCATGAAATGGAAATTGGGCGAGACATCCGCCTTGCGAGCACGCACCAGCATGAACGCATCGTTCAGACTGAGCGCCCGTGTGTGCATCAAATAGGCCAACGTCACCGTTACCGAGCGCGAGACACCTGCCAGGCAGTGGACCAGCACCGCCGAATTAGCCGAGCGCGCTTCCTCTGCAATGTGAATGGAGAGTAAACCAGTTGAGAATTGTAAAGAGAATGCTAGTAAATATTCAATGTACGCACCTATAAAGTGTATGGCAGCTGGAAAATGCATCGCCAGATCCTGGGAATAATGATCGGTAATGGGTATTTGCAGATACTTGATAATGCCCAATTTCTCAAACTCATTTGGCAAATCGGGTGTCACATTCAACACGTACTAAACAATGGGGAAGTCAATTAGATTTAAATATGAAATATATTACTATAGTTTTGGCATACCTTAATGTTGTACTTTTGCAAAGCATTCAAGTCGCTGCTGTGCGTGGAATTGCCCAGAAAGAGTCCGGGCACTATCTCAACGGGCGCCTCATTGAAATTATGATGGTGATGATGATGATGGTGTGAGGTGCTCTCGCAGTCCGAGGACTCGGCGGAACTGCTGCACGCCGAATCGGAATGTGGCGTGGAAATGCGTAGCGATCTGTAATGGATTTAAAAAAAAAAGTTTGTATAGTTTCTAAATAACGGAAAGTAATATGTGAAAATTTCCTTTAAATGTATATAATATGTACATATATATTATATGGGGAACAATCGCTTCTTCTATCTATTTATGTTCTTTATTTTTCTAGTTAATATATTATTATTATTTAAAAAATAGTTGAAGAGCTTAAATAGCTAAAAAAAAAAAAAAAAAAAGTATTAATTTAAAATTTAAAAAAATTAATATTAAATTGGATTTATTTTACCAAAAAAAAAAAAAAAAAAAATATATATATATATATATATATATATATAAGAATAATATAAAAATTTTACAATATAAAGAATTTTAAACAAATAAATAAATAAAATTGATATATAAATAAATAAAATAAATATATATATAAAAAAAAAACAATAAAAAATGAGAAAAATGAAGGAAATAAATAAAAAACTAATTCAAAATATATGAAAAATAAATAAATCAAATGAAATACATAATATGAATATAAAAATATATAAATTTTAAATAATATATATAAAATAAATAAAATAAATCTATACAAAATATATAAAAGAAATATATACGAAATAAATAACTAAAAAAAATAAACACAATAAAAAAAATGAACAAAATAAAATTAAAAAATAAACAAATAATTTAAAATATATGAAAAATAAATAAATAAATCAATTTAAATAAATAAATAAATAATATGAAAAATGAATAAAAAAAACTAAATAAATAAATATACAAATATTAAACTATTCTTCAAATATTAAAATAAAATAAACTAGTTTTATAAATTATAAATTCATTATGAAGATTATAAGGCAAGACAGTAGCCCAAATCAGAATCAAGCCAGAACATAATGCTTAAATAAACAAATAAAAGCTCCATCACATGAATTGAGCATAACAATATTTCGATTATCATAATTAATTATACATGCAGTTGCACAAATTCTAGTTGTTTACTCACTTAAGACCCATTAACTGATCGGCCTGTGTGTTGCGACTAGATTCCATTTCTTTGTTGTGCGCCTGGTTATCATCCTCGCACCACTCCGGAAATGCTTGGCGAAAACTGGAGAAGCCATCTGAAACCAAACAGACAGAGAGAGAGAGAGAGTGAGAGGGGGATATTATAAATATGAAACTTTAGATACATATGCAAACTATAGATACAGATGGAGATGCAGATGCAGATACAGATACGGGTACACATATAAGAAATCAACTTTTAAGTATTCTTTTGAACTATGCGCGTGTTTTGTTTGGCTTTTGTACGCTTGAAAAATATTTCGTTATGCTTAGCCAAGTGTGTCCTTTTGCTCTATGGGTAAGACAACACCTATTCAACACACACACACACACACAGCTTAGACCAGCCACGCCCCTGACCACCGTCTACCGGTGCGCTGAAGCGTGCGTGAAATTCTTGCCGTTTGCGTGGCTCATTCATAAAATACGACTTTCGTTGAATGTCGTTGTCGTTGTTGTTGTTGTTGTTGCTGTTGTTGTCGTAGATTCCAATTAGAAACGGAAGTGGCTGCCATACGAGACGCGACTCGCAACTCGCTGCGCAAAGGAAAATGGGGCACAAACGGAAATGCTCTTTCTATATTTATGCACGAGTTTGCAAGCCGGCAAATCGAATGGGTGTGCTCGAGAGGGCGCAGCGGGGCGGGGCAGTGCACAGCTGGGCTGAATATTATGATGACTGCGTTCGCTCGCTGCGAATTGTCATAACACAAAACGGAAGCACACAATTTCCTACATGGCGCATTATAAATGCGATTCCGCATTTGAAATTGAACACCAACAACAGCAACAACAGCAACAACAGCAACAACAACAACAACTACAGCACCGGCTCAGGCACCGGCACAGGCAGCAGCAGCAGCCATTGGTCCAACGGGTTGTATACGCTATCAAGAAGCCGGCATTCCATTTTAGAGAGAGAGAGAGAGAGAGAGAGAGAGGGAGGGAGGCGGGAGAGGGGTGTCGCTTAAGGTAAAGGCCAAGCAACCAAATTAGCCCAACTGACTGCAACAGCAATAGCCAAAGAGCCGAGGCGGCCAATTGCAATGGCAAAACTCAAAAAATGCATTTGATAGCAATTTCCGCTGCAAAGAGAAGCGCTAAAGCATATATTCAAATTGAAGAAGAGACAGTGAAGACTGAAAGTACTTCTTGATATGAAGACAGGCTATATGAAAGACGAAAATTAAGCAGACTAACTAAAGACTATTGCTAATTAAGTATATATTAAATATAATATAATAAATTATTATTATATTGCTATAGCTAATTTAGTATATATTAAAAGTAATATAAACCATTATTATTATTTTTTTTTAGTATATTTTTTATATTTATTTTTATATTATTATTCTTATTATATTATTTTTTTTTTAAATATTGTTTATATTTATTTATTTATATTTATATTGTATTATTCTTTATATATATTTACATTGTATTATAAAATATTATATTATTTTTAATATATTTTTAAATAAAATATTTTATATATTTATTTATTTATATTTATATATTATTATTCTTATTATATTTGTATATATTAAAAATAATATAATAAATTATTATTATATTATTTTTAGTATATTTTTAAATTATATATTTTTTATATTTATTTAGTTTTATTCTATTTTATTATATTTATATATTTATATTATACATAATTTTAATGATTTTAATAAGATTTCCTGTATATGTAATATATCTGTTAAAATAACATTATCAATATTTAATTCTGTTAAGTGATCTTCAATATTAAATCCGCACTAGTTTTCATTGAATTATAATAATAATTATTATATATTAATATTAAATAATCATCAGATCACTCATATTGCTTTCCATCTTGATCCAGATTTGCAGTTTATTAAAGATAAAAGCAACACCTAAAAAAGTTTCTCATATGGAAACTAAACTTCAGATTAACGAGCTCTATGACAACCTTCATATTGTATAACTCAAATACTAATTCAATTTTAAGCACTGATTAAACTGTTATAAGCTACATATGAAGACATGTTCAATAAATTTAGTGAAATCTATGTATGTAGCTGTTTCATTAAGCTTTCTCCCAATATAGAAAACTTCTCATATAAGGCACTTGACTTGGGAGCTCTTATGCGTCATAGAAATCTGCTTGAACTCATGGGAAACCCAATGCTATAAAAACTGCCAAGACGATAGCTCCAATGCTGTGATATTAGTCACACAAACAGACAGACAGGAGAGTCCGAGGAATATCTCTATATAGACGACACTGAGCAAACATTAAGTATTTATTGTAAGCTCACATTCTATGCAAACAGAGTCCATATTTGGTCAGGCAGGAAATTGAAGGCGACTCAAACATTTTTCACATGAAACTCTCGAAAGGTTAAACGAAAATCGATTCAATTTTCTCAAAATTGAAATCTAGTTGAGAGGCTTGCAAACTTTTGCTATATATGTATATGTATATGTGAGTCTCTCCCTCTCTCTCTCTCTTTACTTTGACCATCTTGAAGTGCTTTCTGCCCACTTCACATGAAATATATGTATATGCAGACAATAGAAATTTTATAAATAGAAATTTATTTGATATTCAATTGTTTCTTCATTGTTGTTTGTCGTTTTCCATATTTTGCGCGTGTTTCGCTTCCTGTTTTCGGCTCCATGAGAGTCGCCACGGACGGACGGACGGACGTACGTGTCCGGTGGCACGGTTCAACGGATTGGCGTTCCACTAAAGGGCACACTTTAAGTGCAGTGCGTCATATGCCTGAGGGGGCTGAGGGGGCGCAAAACGCAAAAGCACCCCCCCACCCTCGACAGCAGCGACAATTGCGAGCCAAATTAATTAGCCAAGCGCCCAAATTGTATATAAGCTTCCCCACAAAAGGGTAGTCCACTGGCGATTCAAGCTGGAAACCGCCAAGTCGACCGCTTGTCTAACTGTTTACGCGACAAAAGCTCGCCTACGTCATTTCCGCTCGAACAGCGCGAAAGGGTTGGTGGGCCGGGGCAGGGGCTGGCAGGTAACGAGAGGTGGGCACACGCTGGCATTGGGGAGTAATAACTAGGTAAATGTGAATGAAATGAATACAGCGTGGGTGTGTGTGTGAGAGAGTGAGAGAGACAGAGAGAATGTGTGTGTTTGTGTGTGTTTTGTATCTCAAGTCAAAGCGGCGGCGATGTTAGCAAAAAGTTACTTAACTCACGTTTTGTTTACCCTACAAAAGGGTTTAAGTAGGCTATGCTCAACTAGAGAACAAATAAAACTGATTTTTAAAAAACTTGTTATACTTTTTTAAAAATATAAATAATAATAAATGAAATATCTTCATTTTATAAAAGAAATATTTATTAAAAAATTTGTAAATGTTCCAAAGAGCAAAAGTGAATATATTTAGTGGAAATTAATTTTAAACTTTAAAAATATATATTTTTGTTAGGAAAACAAAAAAATCACAAATATAAAATAGTAAAAAAATATATTTTATAAAACTATGAAAAATGTCTTAAATAAAACTATATTTTAAAAAGACACTTTTACTATTTGATATATTTATAATATATGTATATTTTATTTTATAAAATATATTTTTATCCAGATTTTTTTATATTAAAAAAATACATATTTTATTTTATAAAATATATTTTTTATAAATATAAAATAAATTGTTATATGTAAAAAAAGGTTTTAATTTGTATTATTTATTATAAATTATTTATTTTAAATAAATAAATATTATTATAAAAGGCATTTTTCTATATCAATTATAGTTTTTTGATCAAAATTCTCTTTTTTACAGGGTATTTCATAATCATTATGCAGAGCTTTTCATTTTTTTTGCTCACATTTTTTTTTATATATTTATTTTATAACTCACGCTCACAGCACACGACGCACGGTCAAACAAGCAAGCAAACAAATGAAGAGAGACGCGGCAGATAAGCCCCAACAGGGCAACAGACAAAACAAACAAATAAAATGAAATATAAAATAAATGCAATAAAATTGTAAAAACAGAAGAAAAAAAAAACGCAATTTGTGGCAGAAAAAAGAAACAATGAATGAGCCAGAATAGAAATTGGCACGACTAGCATATACCCTATACACTCATGCGGCTGTGCAAGCATACCCCACACCTTTTTCCCACCACAGGGTATTTTTGTTTGCTGTCGTCCGCCAGTTGTAAAAACTTGCATGTATTATTTATAATGTTATTTCGGCTTTGTTGTTATTGCCTTAATAAATAAATAATCCAAATATTGCGCTTAGCATGACAAGCACATCCCGTGGGCGGTGGCTGCAAATATTCCAAAAAAAAAAGAAGCGAGACTCGCCATGGGTGGGTGTTTCTCTATATATACATATATAGTTATATATGTTTGTGTGTGTGTGCGTAGAACCAGGTGTTTGACAGAGCTCGAGAGTTGTAAGCACAGGTGAGGCGAGGGGAGGTGAGGTGAGGTGAGGCTCTCTCTCTCTCTCTCTCTCTAAGCTTTAGTTCAAATCCGGTTTTAAAGACCACAAAAGGAACGAGACAATAAATAGGCAATCTGTATGTATTTTAAGTAGTTTCAGCTCACAAATTGTTAGTGTCATTTATTTTTTTGTTATTGTGTTATTTGTCGCTTGTTTATGGTTTTTGTTTTGTTACCTTTTTTTTCCTATTTTTTTGTTATTTATTTATTTTTATTTTTGTTTAAGTTTACATTTTTCACGTTTTGAAGGTCGTTTCCACTGTGCGCGAATCTTGTCATTGTTGTCGTTGTTGTTGCTGTTGTAGCTGCTGTGATTACTGTGTGAACTCATCAATGAAACAATACAGAAAGAACACACACACACACTTACACTATGCTGTATATAGAGGCTGATGTGATAGGCACAGATATACAGCTGTATATATACATATATACATGATGTATATACTATAGTATAATATATATATCAACGTATAGGAAGCTAGACAAAAGATATGAATGGTCGGCATGCGAGACAATTGCGAAGAGCGATAAGAGATAACGACCTTTGAGCCATTCGCAACAGTTACGTTTGAGCTACTGTGAAGAC